TTACGGGCGACTGAAGTGTGGTCCCCGCGGGGCAGGATCCGGCCCGATCACCTGCACCGTTTGTACCGCGCCACCTGATCGCACAGACGTCAGAGGCAGTTGTCAGGAAGCGGCGAGAGAAAAGCGGCCCCGCGATGACCTGCTCGCCTTTCATCTGTGCGGCAGCGCGCGCAGACGTGACGACGGTCTGAGCGCGTTCTTATTTCATGATGTCGCACAGACTCAAGATGTGCCCAACATTCGCCCCCACTTGTGTCCCTGCCCCAAATATCTTCTTTCCACTGAATACTAGTAGTTGGAATTTAACAAGCCTTTTCATTCTTTTTCATTTGTTTATCAGGTGCCCTTCTTAATTTAATGACTTATTTTGACGGTGGCAAATAAATAAAAAAGAAACTTATATTTGATTTTGCGTTTTCGTTGTGACGTGATATAATCCTGTAATATAAGCTATCGCACTTAGCAGCAGTGTACACGTCTTTTTGATTTGTTCCTTTGATTTCTAAAAAGAAATACTTTCATTAATGTCGCAGGAATTTCGGGAAAGTGATTCGTCCGCCACCTTTAAGCGTGGCAACAAGTCCTGTTTCTTTTTAATGGCGAATCTTTGTGATGTTCCATGCAGAAAGCGATCGATACCGGCCTGCCCTCCCCCCTTAAGATAGACGGTACGTCTTGTCTGCTCTTCTGCATCTTTCCCCGTGGCGCGCACAGGTGTTCCCGCGCGATGCGACGGTGTGCCCGCCTGCCCGCCCGCAGCTCTCCACCGCCCGCTTCACCCGATCGATAAAGCTGGCGACGAGAGACTTCAAAACTCGCCCCAAACATCTGTTATCAATCGCGATATCAAGTTTAGAAGCCGATGATAGGAAGTCAAAGCTAGAAAGTGGCGGGGCTGTGCACGCCAGGCTACTGGTACGATCCCCATTTGTCTGTCAGGGCGAGAGATGGGAGCGTCCTGATTGTTTCCTCCTCAGTCTCATCAATCAGCTGCCCCCGAGCGCGGCCCGCCACGGGCGGCGCAACTCTACACCCGATATTTATGTTCCGTGCCCCCGCAAGTTCAGAGGATCGCGTTCAGGATTGAATCGACCAGAACAAACGATCGTTCCGAGGAGTGCGTCCCCCCCGGCTATCACGTAACGGTTCCGGCGTTCCGGAGCGAGCTGCGCGGGCGGGCGGCGAAAATGGGTTTTACGTCGTCTGCAACATTTCACCAGGGAGGAAATGCGATTGCCCGACAATTGAGAAGTTTTAATGCTTAGTGCTAGAGAGAAAACGACACCCTATATCCTGTTACCGCCGCGCAGTATGGACTACTTGGGTTTCAAACTCTTCCATGCGAAAGTTTAGTCTGAGACAAGTTTACTTCCCTGCCCGCCAGGGGTTGATGGCACGTTATCTCATCGGAGTAGTCAGCTGTTTTCCGCGGAAGACAACTTGAAAAGTGAAAGTGTCCGCCCACCGGCGCTTATCGACTTGTGGTATCAGTCAGGCAAAGCCGCTCGAAACCCTGGAGCTGAGTCTGGCGCTGTGTCTGAGCGCGCATCAAACTCGGCGGGATTCACTAGGCTGCTCCGCGGGCCATTTCAGGTGCCACGGGCTCTAATTACAGCGCGCGTCAGGTACGCGCCAGCGGTCATTCCGACACTCTGCCGTTTGCTTCTTCTTTTTTTAAATGAAAAATTCTTCTGTCGGGCGAAGCTGTCTTGGCCGCAAGACACTTTTGAACCGAAATCGATGTGTCAAATGGCGCTTCCTCGCATCGATTCCTTTTGATGTGCCTTTAATGAGAAGCTAAAGCCGTCCAATTTATTTCAGCACTTAAAATATAGATGATCGGGACCGCCAGAGTCAGTGTTTGCGAAAAGTGGTGTCAGCTGAAATGACTCTTCCCGGTTCTCCTGTTGTCACCCAGCCACCGTGCACACTCTTCTCTACAAGTCTGCTCCACTGTAGCTTTCGCGCCGCCCAGCTAATATCCAAGCAGATGTATCAGTCGGGCTTGTTTTGTGCGTCTTTTGTGTGCTTATCTAAGTTTCTCTCTGAACTAATGGATGTATTTTTTCCGTTCCAGCTCGAAGAGTTAAAAAAGCGCACTATACTAGACAGATGTACTAAATGTTGAAAAAAAACGCGTAAAACATCGAGACAGCTTGGTCCTTACATCTGCTTGGATCTAGCTATGGTTCTTTCACATAGCATTTTCCTTTCTTCGAATTGATTGGAACGCACAGAAAAGCGCGTATCTCGCAAAAAACAGCTGTCAGATGACATGGAAGTTTAATACGAAGGCAGAGAATGTGATTTCGCGTTGTCGAAAAATCGAACAGTTTCGGGTGGTTTTGTTTTTGGTAGGTCTACTGGATTGAGGTGTCAGGTAACATCGAGGGTCGCCAAGGTTTTGAATTTTCACCAACTCCTAAGGTGGATTTTGTAAGTGTGATTTAAATTTCTTCCTCCATTTTTCTGTATCTCTTTCATTTTGATTTGACCCCATGTTTATTTAGGACCCGATCACATTTGGAGTACTTTAAATACATCGTACGATCGCAAGCTGATCGAGGGCATTCTTGGAATAGTCGTGCATATGCCGTACAAAATTCATCTATTTTTTTGCGGAAAAGGCTGTCCTATAGCCCTTTTGGTGGTTGGCTCTGTGACAGTCTGCTTGAAAATGCTACGACGTCAAAATCGTACGACGACAGCCTGCGACGACTTTGACAGCGCCCTGCAGTGTTGTCCAAGCTTTCATGTCCACGGTCTCTGTCTCTCAGAGACACCACGCAAGGTCGTCCCTCGGGCCCTAGCCCTGTGGTGCTGAAAGTGAATGAGTGAAAGGGATTCTTTCATCAGGGTTACGACCCGGCTATCGCATCCGGCTGCGCTATGTTTGGCATACCAGACGTGCCGGGCAATCTCACTGCCTCCGTGCCTGCCGTCACAGGAATGAGTGAATATACGGGCTGGCAAGTCAACAAAGTCCGCCGCAAGCTACAAGCAGATATGTAGGGTCCGGCTACGCGTGTTTTGGAGGCTAGTCTTCTATGCCTTTTGCACGTTTTTCTAGCGATGCTATATGGCAAAGAGAATGGCAAGGCATAATATTTAATATTCACAAAGTGCAAAACGTCTAAAAAAAGTAAAATGCGTGCAAAATAAGCAGACACCATCCCCTCGCTTCCGCTGCACTCAGTGCACCACACAAAAGCAACGGTACTTCAAAATTTCATCAATGACACTTCTGAGTGTACTTCTCTCAATGGTTTCAGGATAGACACATGATTGATGGTTATAAATAGCTGCACAATATGACAACAGCGACCAACCGCGCTCCAGTCAAAGAAACTCTTGGAAATTTTCATTGCAACGATAAAGAGGACACTTCTCAGTCACTAATGAAAGACTAGAGAGTGCAGATGATGTCTGACTCTTTAGAGAATTTATCCAGTTGCTTGATTTATTTCGTATATTAAACACTAAATAAAGAGGACCGGTGAGTCATCGTAAAATCCTGATAATAACATACTAGTACATCGTGGATGTCTACGCTGGTTTTAATAATTTAAACTATTGCGCTCGATTCTTCTTAAATCTACGATCATAGGTGCGTGGTACGATATATGTGAGCGAAGTTTCGCAAACAGGAAGTAACAGGTGTTCTTTTTGTTCGCCACTTATGTTTTATTGATCTGGCGCGGCTACGTCAGCGCTGCTGCGGGAGTGTGGGCCGGTCATGGTGACGCCACGGCTCTTATCACTCCGCGCGCGGCTAGGCTGCCGCACCGGAGAGAGCGGGGCGCTGACGTCACGGCTAATTTCTGGGTGTTGCGTGCCGCCGGTGTCGGGATGAGTGGCGGGGCGCGCGGGCCGACAGGAGGTGTCAGGCCGCGTCCGAATCGGCCGAGCGATGATGCCATTGATGGATGAAAATGGAATCCTCGCGTAATTGCGTTATGGAGGCCATCGATCGGTCGGGCGGCCAAACTCGGACGGACCGGCCTCCAAATGCGTGCTGCGGACGGCAAAGTTTAATCTTGGCCGCTTTGACAAGCCGTGTTTGCTGTGAAATCAAACCTAGCGGTCCCCTTCCGCCTTATCGCCGCGGTTATTGACAGCGGGCTGGCCAATAAATAACCCTGCAGCCACACAGAATAATACGTGAAGCAGGTGCCGAGGTAGTAAGCGCAGCGGGGGTTAATATGTCGGCAGATAACGCAAGCTACTGGCAATACCAACAGAAGCACGCATATGAAAGAACACGAAATATACAGTACTGTATATACATGTACATAATTGTTCAGATAGGTTTTCAGGTCCAGGTAAGGTTTGCCAAGGCGGCTTCCTTCCGCAAAAATGCCAAGGTCAACACTCCTGAAAGACCGCGAGTCTTGGCTCGCCTGCCAGCGTGCTCAAAGGCTTGCTCGGGGGCAGGATGATTTAATCTGCCCTGCTTTTCTTTGTGAGTGTTGGGCGAGCCTCTGGTCGCACGTCACGGTGGAGGAATGTGCTCTCTCTCTCTCCGAGCGCCCCAGGGGCTTTTGGCATCATGGGATGAAAAATTACACTGTCTATAGTTTCAATATCGGAAGTACAGACCAACGTCATGATTGATGCTGTCTGCCACTTTGATGAAAGTTTTTTTCCCCCATCGCTCGCTGTCTTCCATTTTCATACTACTCTGCACGATTCTTGCCTCGGCGTGGATTCGATCGCTCTATATTTGTGACGTCAAGAAAATACACGTCATTCTCTCTATGCTACACTATGCTATGCACTAACGTTTAGTAGGCGCCCGGCTGCGCTTCGGCATAATTACAGGGGATGGGTTGAGAAACAGGCCGGCGAGAAGTAAAATATTCGTTAGTATGTCTGGCAGGTAAATTGGCTGTGTGCAGGTCCGGGTTTTAACAGGCGCTTGCTGTGTGGTTGGAAGTGATCGCACGTGAGCGTCACAACCAAACACACAGGCAGCCCCACCGACCCGAGACAGACGGCCACAGAGCGCATGCGCGTCTGGGTGAAAGAAAATATCTATTGAGTGAAGTGGGTTGTGGTGCTGTAGACAGCTGAGCAGACGGATCAGTCCGGAGCCGTATGCTGTTTGAAAATGTTGGTCGCCGTGTAACCGCCCGGCTCACAGGTTGACAGGTTTCTGCGAGTGTGAGTGGGACCAGGAAACGCGCTGACAATGGCCGTGCCGTCACAGAAACTCCAGCGGCAGCACTGCTACTTGTGCGACCTGCCGAGAATGCCTTGGGCGATGCTGTGGGACTTCTCCGAGGCCGTGTGCCGCGGCTGCTGCAACTACGAGGGAGCCGACCGTATCGAGCTGGTCATTGAGACGGCTCGGCAGATGAAGCGGGCTCACGGGTTTCAAGAGCGCGGCTCGGCCACTCCGGGACCGATCATTATGAAGCAGTCTCCGGGCCCTCCCCCTCCGGGCGCCGTTCTCCAGCGTCCGCCGCACGACGGAATCCCGCCCGGGGGGAACTCTGGGGAGGGACGCCCGCCGCCGCTGGTTGATCGATACCCCATCCACGAAAGACCGCGGGGATCCATGCTCGATTACCCGCCGTCACAGAGACCACTGACAGGGATGCCGGGTCCCTTCGCGCCGCTGGACGAGTCGACCGACCCGCGCGCCCGGGCCAGCCCGAGAAGGGGCCCGCCCCTGGCCCAGCACGTCCCGCCCATGCCGCCACATTCCGTCGGTATCGCACCGCCAATGAACCGCGGCCCGCTGCCTCCCCAGCCGCCGATACCGCAGCCCTCGCCGCCCACGGGCAAGTCGCGTCACCAAAACAACAAGACTGCCAACAACTCAACAGGTGACAAGAACGACAAGGAGGACACGGCGAGTGACAGCTCGTCCACTGACCTCGCCACAGACACCGAGGTGTCAAGGAACGGAGACGACTTTCACCAGAGACCTCCCCTGGTGCGCGAGACACTGGCGACCTTGTCACAGAGCACGCCATTCGAGGTACGTTTCAAGAAAGACCACAGCCTAATGGGCAGGGTATTTGCATTTGACGCGAGTTCAAAGCCAGGCTTTGACTACGAGCTGAAAATTTACATAGAGTATCCCAGCGGGTCTGGGAACGTGTACTCCAGCGCTTCAGGTGTTGCCAAGCAGATGTATCACGACTGCATGAAGGACTTTGGCAAGGGTCTGTCATCTGGTTTCAAGTACCTGGAGTACGAGAAGAAGCACGGATCAGGCGACTGGCGTCTTCTTGGGGACCTCCTTCCAGAGGCATCACGCTTCTTCAAGGAGCCAGTCAACCCTGAGATGATCCCCCAGCCGTACATCGACGCCAGCTGCCCCATCCTTCCCATCGCATCCTGCAACATCCCTCGTTCCCTGCCAAAGATGAGGAAGAGGAAAGCATCTCCCGACCCAGACTTAGAGAGGGATGCAAAAATCAGCGACGAGCAGCACCAAAGGCAGCAGTGGATGCAGAGCCAGGCCGAGGCGCTGAAGCTCACCATAAGTTCCACCGGGTACGGCCAACCAACGCGCCCTTCTGCAGTGTCGCCCCTGACGAACATGGGCACACCTCCTGATGCAGCCAGCATGCAGAACGGTCCATCTCCCATGGCTGCCCTGATGTCTGTGACAGACAATCTAGTGACGCCCATCTCTCCTGTGAAAGATACGTCCTCGTCGGCCCCTTCCGGGACGACAGTCACGAGTACGAATTCACGACGCAGCCCAAACTCAGCCCCAGGGCAGCACATGCGCAGGGCACCACGGAGCAGTGAGATGCACCAGGTTGTCACCAGAGATCAGGAGAGCAACGCGAACTCTCATCCTCTCCCCGACTCCTCCGTCAACTCCACTAACTCCTCCCTCACCTGCACCCTTTGTCACGAGAGACTCGAAGACACCCACTTCGTACAGTGCCCTTCCGTGCTCAGCCACAAATTCTGCTTCCCCTGCTCCCGGGAAAGCATCAAGAAGCAGGGGGCGAACGGAGAAGTGTACTGTCCGAGTGGAGAGAAGTGCCCCTTGGTAGGATCCAGTGTTCCATGGGCCTTCATGCAAGGTGAGATTGCCACCATCTTGGGTTCGGAGGAAGCTGTGAAGGTCAAGAAGGAAAGGGAGACTTGATAGACAAGTGATGGAATCACCTTGCAGGTGACAGCAACAATGAACATTTCAAGGACTCCAAAGACTTTTTGAGTTAAGATAAGTCTTAAAAGAAGTGCTGGAAAGAAGAAGTATTCCATAGGGACTTCTAAGTGGTAAGGACATAACACCATGCTAAAGGTGAGAAGTTGTAGGACAAGTTGGATTTTGTAGCTGTCTCTTAGGAAAGAAATTCTGTACTCTGAAAAGGAGGGCCAGAACTGCTGGTAAGTTTGGCACTTCAGTCTCTGTTGTAAGAAAAGCAGACAGGGCACAAGCACTAGGGTGTAAACACTGTTGCCTGGCAGTTGTGTAGTTAGCCAGGTCAGCTGGATTTGTTCATGTGCATTTTGTGTTAAACTGCCTGCCTCATCAGTCAGCATGAAAAAAGTCTCAGAGCACTCCAGCCCGAAATTGGGGGGGCCAGAACAAAGGTATCATTCAGGCTGGATGGAAATCTTAGCTGTGTGTATTTACATACGGAATTGTCAGCGGCCAGTACAGAGTACAACAGCAACCAAAACGGTCTCCTGACTCCAGCCTATTGAGTCTAGCCGCCTGTTGTGATGGAACTCTCAAATGGCAGGGTGTCAGGTTCAGTCTGTAATGTAGTAGGCAGGCTAAAAGAATCACAGGCACCCCTGTAACCAGAGAGGTGCTGGGTCCAGTTTCCTGGCATCATTGTGAGGAATGTTTGCAGGTGCTGTGCTGGAGTAAAGTAGGGGATCAGGTCGCTCCAAGGGGAGAGAGGTGGGCTGGGAGCATGTTGTTTTGAGTTGAAGCTTTGTCTGGGTGCCTAATTGTTATGGACACTGTGCAGCACACAAATCAGAAACTGAAGGATGCAGGGCAGTCTGTGTCAGGGCGAGGAAAAGTAGTCCTTTCGCCAGGCAATTCAGGCCAGCAGGATTTATTGATCTGCGGCTCATCAATGGCGGGGTATTGTTTGCCCGCTTTAGTGACATCATCGCACTGATTTTGCCCCCAGATCAAGTGACAGGACAGGAAGGGGCATTAATCAATGTCATTGTGTTTGTGCAAATAGCTGGGGTTGTGAAGACCTTGGCCAGGTCCACTCCCAGAGGTAGAGAGGACTGCCCTGCATTTTAATGTGTTACGCGCCCCTTGGAAAAGTGTTGTATTCTGCTAGAGTAAAAAGATCTCAAAGAGTAATGTTTAATGTTCACAGTTTTAGTTCCTATGTAAAAGCAAAGACAGGGGAGTTTGCACCTTTCTGTTTGCGTAGCAGTTTCCTTTGCTTGTCAAGTCATCATTGTTGCATATTGACACCTAATCGTGAATTGATGGTCTCCACATGTCAGCCCGCCTTGTCTGTGCCTTCACTTTCACTGAATGACTGAGGGAGAGTGTTTGTGTGTGTCTGTGAGTGAGAGGAATGCTAACTTCCCATCAATGGGACCCACCATTTCCCTTGGACCCAAAACATATGGCCCTACAAGCCTCTCTCCACCCTTCCACTACACAAATGTAAATCAATAGCAGCATATCAGGTAGCCTGTCTGGGAGAATGATATGCCTAAAGCCTCAGGCTGCCCCATTCAGACACAACTCCTCTGGCACTCTACCCTCCATCAGTCCATGTTGAGCACATCAGGCAATCCCTGGGCTGTTATGTTTGGTTTGTTTGGCGGTCACCAGAGACGGCCGTATAGGATTTACATCTGCAAACCCATGCCGTTTGGACCAGTGTGCGTTTCAGACAGGCTCCTTTTATCTGCCGACAGTGGGTGTACCAAAGCGCAGGGTTGCAAGTTCACTGGCTTCCAAACATAGCCCACAGTAGACCCACGCACATTCATAGCCAGCAGGAGGAGATTCTCAAATCAAACAACTCTTTGGTGGGGCCACAGCAATTTGATTTCTTGGTTCTTGGATTTTAGAATATAATGCTAAATTGGAATATCAACATTACATGAGTCCAGGCACTGTGCATTGGTGAACACAGTCGCAAGAAGTGAATGTAGTTAGATTCAAGTTTCTCTTCTATGTTAAAATGTCCAAGAAGCAAAGAGGGGGGGGGGTATGGCCTTCTGTATTTATTTTCAAAGTAAAGAGTGTCCCTTGCATATAGCATTTAAAATTTATTATTCACAGGCATCGGGTGATAAAAATCATCATCAATTGAGAGTTCACAAAATAATGCACATTGAATTTCCGTATCCTTTTTGCCTGAGGCGGACAGTGGGGGAAGTACCTAACAATAGTAACATTACAAAGTTACTAGCAAATATACCATTTCTTTTTGGCTGACTCAGTGCACTGGAGAAAAGATTAAGATCTACGTCATGACACAACTGGCATAGCTCATAACTTGGTGTATGCTTAGCCCATATTTCACCACAGGGTGCTCCAGGCAAGCACTGGAAAATGTCACATTATTTAAGCAAAATGTTTCTCAGTATGGTTTCAGTCAGTCTGAACATACTGTCTGCCATTTGGGATATGAATCAGCGGAACTGTGTACCAACCTAGGGATCAATTTTATTTGTATTTCATGCAACGTCATGCTCTCAAATATTTAATTGTGATTCGTAGTATACATGTTGAAAGCAATGAAAGAAATAATGGAGGAAACTTTTGGAATTTTTGATGGAGGAGTCTTTTAATAACATGGTTTTGCAATAGTCTTTGCTGAAAGTGAGAAAATGATAAATGAAATGATGGTGGGAATTTAAAACTTTTTATTGACGTGGGTTCGTGCTATCGACCCTCAACGGCCAGCTGACAGGCTGTGACGTGACCATCGTTCCATGACAGATGAGCAGTGTCACTGCCCATAACTGGCAGAACAAAGGGCCTCCAGGCCTGGAAAATAAATATTGCCTCTGAAGTGCCCAGTATGACAGGTAATATAGGAGAGCTCTTCCAGCTGCCATGCTGGGATGAAGGTTGGGCATGAAGGTGGCATCCCTGACAGAGCCCAGGCAGCAGAGTGATGTTTCGCCCAGTCCAGTGTGTCAAGGCGGCAGCTGGCGGTGATGGATGCCGGGTTGCCAACCAAGAATGCAAGCATATTTCAATATCCCCTGGCAACGGAGGGCCGTCCCCACGGCAACTGCTCAGCAAGGGATCGCCACACATTATCAAGGCGATCAAAGCGAGTGATCCGAGTGCCCCAAGAATAAGCACTGCCCGCCTGTTTCCAGGTGACACCCGCAGTTATTTGCACCCCAGGATAAAGTGTTATCTTGGGGGCCCGGTCTGGAAACAAGTGCGTAGCCATTTGGCAGGGGACATAAAAGTTTATGTTGCCCGGAGCAGGGGTGGTAATTGCCAAGCTGAGGCGCAGGTCAAACACATTACCAAATTTATTTGGCCTGCTTGGAAGGGCAAAAATGCAGAAACAACATTTAACTTCTTCCAAGCAGAGCAGTTACGGTGGAAGAAACAAATCCATTCAATTTCGGTCGACTTAAGGGAAATGTCAGAGTGGGCAGTTGTGCATAAGAGCAGCCCGAGGCCCACAAGTGCATCACATCAACGTTAAGTATATGGCTGTCATTTGCTTGGAATAGATTTGGAAAGCTGCATGGCAAATGGCAGCCACATAATCTCCCACTACAGTGGTCCTTTTTCTCTCCAATGCATTATGCCCTGACATAAACACAATTTGTCAAGGAGGCAACCCAAACATCAGTTGACTGCTCCGATTGTGAGACATATTTAGAAAGTGATGTCATCCCCCAAATTTCTCCTTTATGGGCAGCAGGCCTAGTGTGGAGTGCTGCATGATTAACCCCAGCAATCTTTCAGATGCCAGGGAGTTGAACACAGGTTAGGGAAGGAAAATTATTGGCAACCCTACCAACCAGCCTAACGACTTGTCTCTCAAGGATGTTGGCATTGTTTGCCCCATGCACAGACAGGGTACAAACAGGTTGCCTTCGGGGCCACAACTCATCAGATGTGATTGTTCATAGCTGTTCCGGTGACACCCCCCTTGTCACGCACATCCGTACGCGACACAATACAAAACAGACAAGTCGTTCAAAACTTAGCCCCAGGAAATGCCCCGATTGTAAAGTGTGATGGATGTGGCAGGTAGTGAAGTATGGTGGAGACATTCATTAACTTGTGCTCTGAAGCCAACAACGTTGGAATGCCTAATGGTCGCGGAAATTGAGTCATACGTCAGAGGCAATAAGGCCGAGGAGCGGAGTAATGGAGGGGAGTTCATGTCCTATTACTCCCAGGTGCTTGGGAGGCCCATGATACGTTAAATGAGGAAGGGGAAGCTGGTGATGTAAATTTCTCCCCAGTGAGAGATGTGTGGTGGCAGTAGTCTTGCCATCTATATGGCCTTCAGATGCATTAACAGATGTAGCCATTTTAAAGGGTTGAAAAATCAATAAACGGGCTAACCGAAAATGTAGTTTTCCTGGGCCCAAACAGCCCTGCACCATGAGGGATTTTTACAGCAGGGCTCAGGAAGACGGACATCAATGTAGTGACACCAGGGATTTTCGAAGAACTTCAGGAGTACTTTGTCATGCTTTAGCTGTTGGGATAAGGGGAGGCAGTGTTTGCCAGACACAGGTGTGTTTGTAGGTGGTAAGTTCCAAGGTTGACTTCCTCCAGCCTGGCACTGTTTGCCGGGCTGCCTGGAATGAAAGATATGTGAGAAGCGCGGTGATGTTTAGGTGTGCGAGTTCTGTGAGGTTGGCTGCCCAAACCAAAACCCCACTCAGGTCAGCAGTGACATCACAAAAAACTGTCTGGCCTGTTTCCCAGTTGCCCAGTTGCCTCCCTCCCCACCCGCTCAAGGTCACTGCATAGTTCTACATTGTACCTATAGGTACAAATACTCTCCCAGCAGGTATGGGCACTGTTACAGCACTAATTGGCTCCCTGCAACAGTGGAATAAGAAATAATTAAAGCTGAGGGGCAGGGAGTCCAAACTATGCGTTTGCTAGGGAAGCAAAGAATTACAATAAATCTTCATAATGATAAATTCACCTTGCTGTCGCAACATTCCTAAGTATCATTGCTCAGCAAATTGTGTTGGTTTTACTCCAGGTGTAGTATCTATCATACTCTGTGGTACTAATGGCCTGTAGAAATAATTGAAACGGAGACCTTCATGGGCATGGATTGAAAGATTTGGGTTGGCATGGATCCAGACTGGGCCTGGGGTGGCCCTTGTGTCTGGTGAAACAGGATTTGGGCTCTACACCAGCAAGGTAAATTTAGACTGGAGTGTTTGTCCCTGTCGGATGTGTCAGTCACTGCGTGCGGCAGTGTTTACAGCCGGCCGGCGTGCCCCCAGGCTGGCTGGTGTTGCGTGCACCGCTGACAGCCCCAGAAGCCGGTGCACTGTGAGATGTACATTATGTCGGTGTCTAGCTATGTTGCCCCGGGCAATTGCATCAAAGGGAACCATTCACGCTACTTCCGTCCCATACCTCAGCAAACTCGCGCCTTGCTGACGGAATACAAATGGCCTTGTGTGGAACGGAGAACCACACAGGCAAAATATTGATCCATCTACAACAAAGTGACGTTTGGAGAGCCAGCAGTAAAATGACAAAGTTGCCTCCCGGCTGGCATATAAATGATGCAATATGCGTAGTTTGAAGATGCGGATGTCTGAAGGTCAAACGGAGCTGTTGTGATGGTATGAATGAGTGAATTAGCGTGTGACATCACTGCTGATGTATTAAAAGATGCTGTTGTTAGATCAACGACACTACACAATCCCCGCGACTCTCGTGATCTGAAGCGTTCCATTTGCAGCACCTGCCAGCCGTTACATCTCATTCCCGGGTGCATTCACTCTCGACTCATCAGAAGGAAAGAAATCAATAAGAAAATTATGATTGATTAGCCACTCCCCAAAGATGAAAGAGGAAGGTTCTAACAGAAGTGATTAGAACTTTCTCTGGTGGGCATCCTTGCGGAAACACTTAAGAAATTTCAAGTCCTTTGGGAAATTGGACACATGAATATATCAGGAATTATCATGGCTGTTCATCATTCTAAAGGAAGGGTTTGATCGTACCGACACTAGGCTTATTCAAATCTTATGGCAGTCTGTAGGTGGGCTTATAATTGATGGCACTATTACTAACATTAAAGTAATTGTCTTGAAATGATTATGATCAAATGATAAGAATCAAATATTTGTTAACATATATTAGAAAGTATCTAATGACTGAGCTACACAATGCACTCATTAGCAATCATAGTATGAGGGTTCTGATAAAATATCATGGTTAACACAGAATAAAAAAAAACTTTTCATTCAACAAAATGTTTGAAGTGCAGGACTGGATTTTTTGCACAGATTTATTTGTAGCTTGAATGACAACAGCTCATCATCCAGTCAGACTTGTGTACAGTAAATATTATATTCATCCTCATCAGATGAAGTGGGTTATGTAGCAGTTCATTAGCCTCCTTAGCAGGCTCTATGAGTAGGGCTTTTTTTTCGTTTTAGAGTTTTTTTATACCGGTAACACTTTTTCTCATGGCAACTTCCTTCTGGCACTGTGTCATGGCTGGCCAAGTATAGATAGAAGGGATATACCATTAAAAAAAATCGCATTATAAAAGGCCCAGCCCAGTCATGAAGCTTTTTAATAAAAGGAGGCTAGCAGTTGGTAGGGTTTGAGTACCGGAGCGTGCCGGCTTGGCGTGATTGCCCGACATGATCAGACAAGGCATGATTGTCTCCTTATCATCCTCAGCACTGGCGCGCAGCGGACTGATTACCTGCGCTCCCGTCGTCGTGATGCAGAGGCGGGGTGTTATCACGCCACGCCAAACTAATGGCATTGTGGCCAGGTGGGGACGTCGATTGGGACAAACTTTTACCCCAAGCAGCTCTTCCCTCATCATTGTCCACAAAGCCAATATCAGCGACTGCTTGGATCAATTTGCCCCCATGCTTCCCTTTTATGTGTAAAATTGCCTACGAGATAAGATGACTGGGAGCTGACCATACATTATCCGACACTTCAATTGTGCTGTCTGCTGCACCAGCGGGCAGCCCCCCACATCCAAAAGGAACTATTACTCAGATAAGGCCCAAATTTATTTTGTTGATATTTCATTGTGCAGGATAAGGCCCATCACTCATTCAGGGACCTGTCACTAATTGCCCGTGCCCGAGTTTCTGACGAGTTATATATAATTCATTCCCTGGATGTCTGCTTGCTGTTTGACATAGCAGAATCACAATCCGTGGCACCACGCTGCTAAGCTGCCAGACATGGAAGTTGTATTGGCTACAAAATTTTGAATATCAAATTTGGGATTTCTCTGGCAGGTAGCAAACAGGCCATAATGGCCCCATTACACCTGCATGCGAGATCATAGCTGGAGTACCAGGTAACCGAATAGCAGTGTTTACTCTCGCCCTATCACGGCATCTTCACACCTCACTGGGAGGCTGTTGGTGCATGGTTACGCAAAAATGTAAACGCCCGGCAGAAGTGGGAAGGCGAGGCCCATTGCATGCGGTACGTACACTTGTCTCAGTGTTTGCTTTCACTCATACCACCTGCCGGACTACGTATCTGTTTACCCTCCTACGGTGAGGAGGCTGTTGGGCTTTGCCCAAGGCTTCTAATAGAGTCTGCCATGAAGTTTGGCAACTCAGCAACTCTGGGATACGACGCTTCACGAAACATGCTGTTTACCCAGTCCCCTCCGTCAGGGTAGAGATTGTGGGCCTGATAAATGGCCCATTGCGTCAGCTCTCAAGTAGCCTAATGAAGTTCTCCAGTTGATACGTGAGCCTTTTGTGTCTGGGCTCAAACTCAATTATCCCGATACCCCCCATGCACACACAACAGAATACCTGTAAAGCGTGCAAAGAGGTGCTAGAACAAAAGTGTGGGGGTCTTGGGTACCCTTTTCTTTTTTTAACGGTGAGGCAAACATTGGGAGGTCTGTTGTAGCAGGTGGAAGTGTAGCACCTGGCTGTATAGTGGCAGAAACAGGCCATTGTTTATGGGCATGGTTTGGACAGGGGTTTACCTTGCCAGGGGGCGTCACACCTGTAAACACGGCCAGACACAATAGAGGGCTGGCCCCTGTCAATCACACAAAGAAAGGACTATCTCCGCTCTCTGACACGTAGCTACTGCCTGAATGAAACATGGCTCGGCGCTGCAGAACCATTAATTTTCACTGTCTACTTTTACAGAATGTTACAAAAATGAAGTTTTCAACTGTTTTCTACTGACTACACCTTCTGCAGCTTTTGGGCAATATTTTTTTGTATTTTGTCAATGAGTTGCTGGACCAATTATGATACAGACAGCACATAAAATATCAGTATTACATGAACAAGGTCAAAAGTAGTAATAAGCCTTTAAATTTTTTTTCTTCTATTTTCTATATATAGACCACATACAACAGACAACACGTGCTTCTCTAGCTTCTGTATAATTTTTTTTTTCAATCTTTCTACATTCTTTCAATAAGTTGCTAAATAAATCATTTGTTGAGACAGTACATCAATTAAGTAGTACTTGTACAGGGTCCTAAGGGCACAAACATGCAATAAACTTCTCTTGTAATAGCCCAAGCTCTTGAGAACAGTATGGTAAACGGCATTCAGCCCCCGCCCTTGTGTATGACCTTGTGGGTGATTTACGTCACGTTGGGAAGAGAATCCTGCAGGCAGGAGGCCCCTTCCTGCCGGCGTCTCATCATGAATCAGTGAGCGGCAGTGACAGTGCAGGTGCCAGGAGACCCCAAATCATGGCTGTAATCTCCAAAGGTGGCGCCGTGCTGGCCGGAATTGACTGTAAAAACGGGATGAAGTCACTAAAACAATGGCGACGACAGTCCCCAATGCACAATTCACGTCTGTTATACAGAAAGTTCAGCGACATTCGTGTTACTGTGAATTGCTGCACCAGTACTTGAGTAAATTGGTTACTTATATATCCTAGGAGAGACTGTTTTCACCCAAATGATTATGTTGATCGAGAGTTAGAGCAAAATACTTTGACTGCACTCCCACTATGCAGATCTCTCACGGGTGCAAATAAAACTTAATGGTACCGTTTGTGTGAAAGAATGTGCATGCCCTGATATTTGCCTTCTAAAGTACTCACATTCTCCTAGGACTTTTTCAGGAGAAGATTCAAGGGCCTTAGAAACAAGAAGTGAAGGCTCGGGTTGGTGCATCTTTCAGTATTTCATGAAACGATTGGATACTTTATAACAGTAAATCATAAATGATTGTACAATTTGCCCGCACTGGGTAAAGTACAAGTTGCAAACATGACAAAACAACAAATACAATAAATACAAGCTTGTCTGAGTATGTGGATTTGACTTCTCCTCTTTTCTTTATATTGGTATTAATTAAGAAATGTGAATTTGTCTGACAGCATTACTTTTTGCATGAAGTGGGAAATATAGAGGTGCATAAGATACAAGTCACTGCCAAACTGCAGTCTTGCCCTTGATCATGTTTCCTGGAACAGGCACAACTATGTCATCCATTATATCACACTGCAGTAATGAGGTATGCAAATAAGCCAATTAAGGTGTCATCAATTTGAGAAATACCGTTATGTGATTGGTAACCTTGAATGCCATTTGAGGTTTGTGCCATGTATAACAGTTTATTAATAGGAAATGATAATTCTGGTACAGACGCTGTAATTATTTTATTGCAAGATGTACTTAAAAAGTGGAGCTAAAAACATACAATGAACTAGAATTCCGAGATTTCATACCTCCATGAAAT